CCCACAGCTTGACACAGGCATGCCTGATATTGTCCCCCTCCCACTTCGAGTCTAGTTTGAAGCCCTGTCTATAAGCCCCGCTAGCTTGCGAGCAAAGACCCTTTTCCCCCTTTGAGAAAGGTGAATCCCATATGATGCCAGAAAGCCAGGTGCCGTGTAGGCCATCCCATTATCAAAAAACACGAAACTGTGGCAGTGACACCAGTCACGGAGCCATGTAGTAATAGACTGGGCCTGTCTCTTTCTTCCTATGTCGCTGCCCGCAGCTGAAAGGAGAGGGGAAACAATAACCTGTGAACCAGATTCCGTAACCCACCATCCCAAGGCCCTGAAGTCTCTTTTGATCGCCCTTGGACTATGCATTGCAGCTTCATCTCCACCCACATGTAAGAGCAGTAGCGGGTAGTAGTCCGAGGGCTGCACCAGGCTAGGAAGTTTCCTAGTGATGTCTTAAACCTGGGCCCCAGGGAGGCAGCAGACTTCCCTAAGAGGAGGGTTTGTCTGGCATGTTGGACCTTCAGTTCCCCTCAGAATACTTAGCAACACCTAAAACATCAGTATGTTATCAACATTATTCTCACCCTAAATCCAAACACAGCACTATCTGATTTCCTGAAACAACAGAAGAATCCTAACTGTCTAAATATTTCACAGAAGTATAAGATTCTTGCTTTCAAGTTTTAATGATTCCTGGTCTAAAGTTGTATTTTTAAATGTCCTCATTCTTCTACACAGCAAAAGACTCCACAAAAATAGGTATTTATATCACTCTCTCTATTTTTCAGCCAGAAATACCTTTTCATAGGGCATTTCAATAAATAGTGGTGTTTATTTCTTACACAAAACCTCCATCTCTTTGGCATCTGACCATATTCTGTTTTTCAAACTAAAGACTACATAGGAAAAGTTTACTTTAGAAATCATTGTTCAATACAGTAAATTTATAGAGGTGCAGTTAACTCTTTAAAATACACATCAGTTGTAAATATTCTAATAAGCCAGAAAACATTAACCAAACCAGTAAAACATAGTCTACTGCGCTCCTCTTCACTACCTTCAGTTACAGTTATGGAGTGACAGAATGAAAAGAACTCTTCATTTTCTACAATACATGCATTGACTAGTGCTTGCTATTCATTCTGAAGGGGAAACAAAAAAACCCTGAATTGTACCAGAAGCAACTGATCAAATAAGTTATGTTTCAAAACAACGTGATCTTAATTTTAACTTCTAAATAAGTAAATCAAAATGAAGTTGCACACTGCTTCAGTAATAGATTGCACCTAAAAATGTCTAAAAACTTTAATTTTTAAACATGTTACTAACATGTTTTAAATACATCTAAGAATACATCTATTAAAACTGCATTTGATGTCATATTTGGACAAAAAATTCTTAAGCAACAAATTAAGCCAGTGTATTCAGTCTACTCTGTTGAATAATCCAGAATCAGCTCTTCAGGGCTGATAGAGAAACACTTCACTTACTTGCACTCCATCTAAAAATCTACCTTCTGGATCTTAATAAAAGTGTTCAGTACTTCAAATAAACTAAATTTCCAAAGCAATGCTAGAGTTATTTGACATCTTCCATTACTATACTACATAGAAATAATGAATTAAAATTAAAAACTTTATTGACATACTGATGCAGACATTCTAGTGTATTTAGTGGAATCTCAAGTGAATCCTTGTTTACATGTCAAGACAATGTAAAAATAAGTCATATTAATAAAAAAAACAAACCCTTCACTCTCAAAAATTTTTTCTTAATATTCCAAATACTAGTTTTAATATTCCAAATATTCTTAATATTCCAAAAACTAGTTTTATAAAACAGAGGAGGCAAAAAAATTACTTCCATGCAGAAACTAAAAAATAATTGAATAGGTTTAAAGTAGTAAATGAACAAAAATTTATTTTATGAGTGAATTTCCTCCTCACCACCAGTGCAAACCCAATTTCAAAATGTTTGAATGGGATGGTTTAAGATAACAAGTGATCCAATTTAGCCAAACTCACATTCCTTCCCATGATGTAAAAAATCATACATACATTTTATTGTAGAATACAGTAGGAAACAAAAAGATAACCTGAGTACTTATCAAAGAGCAATTTCTAACATCAAGCCAAAATTAGCAACAATCAAGCAGACCATCAATTTTTCAGTATTAAATTACCATAAATACTAGATAACTGTACAAAAAAACCCCAAACCCAAATCCAAAAACCAAAAGCCTCTTCTTTGTTAAAAAGTGTCCAAAGAAATATCCACCACCTGCAGTCAGATTTGCATTAGAAGCTGCTTGCTCTGGAAAGATTTTTTCCCTCCAAGTATTTGTAACACAGTGCACTGTCAAAATTCTATTCAAATAAAATCCTTTCTGATAACATTTAGCTGATACCACCTACGATGTAGACAGTCATGTACACAGTATGACAGTGGCTTTTTGCAGTGACGGAGAAATAACAAGAAACTGGTTCTAAATTCTAGATTATAGATCATAGTTCATGTGTTATTTCTTGCAAACATATGGTCCCCTCTAAGAGTAAGGTGTTGGAGCTGGTATTGTAGCATGTCTGTGTCAGCAGGTTCCTCGATGCTCATTTTGTCTAAATTGAGATAGTCCAGGGATTTAGAGTGAGCCCTTTTACCTTTTAAAAGGCAAAGAGGCAGGGGACTATGAAGTGCCTTGTAAGGTTCATATGGTAAAGCCTTAGTGCATTTATCCCCTGAACTTTGCATCTGTCTCCTCCTCCTCCCATTTACTGCTGGGATCTCATATGGCTGATAGTACCTACTTTTAGCTTTGTACAAATGGGAGGAACATGCAAGTCCTGAATCAAGCTGTTTAGAGTGCAAGTTAGGCCTGGATTCCCCTTTATTATCTTCATTTCCTGTATATTTTGGGGCTAATTTTAGCAGCTCCTCTCCAGTCGTGAAGCCAACCAGGTAGTTGGAATCCATATGAAGGATCTGATAGCCTGAAACTGTCTGTCGCATTGGTGAGCAGGGGGTACTGGAACATCGTGGTTTCTCTGCTTCTATATCGCCTGCAGAACTGACCTCTGCAAGAGGTACAGGGAACGTAGATACAGTAGTTCTGGACTCTCCATTTATATCCATTTTAAGCAATGTGCTATTCTCCTAAAAATAAAACAGAGATTTTAACAGAAAGAGGATCTCAGAAATCATATTTTTTATCATCCAGAAACCATAATCAGTACTTCTCTATTCAGTTTTGTTTTACACTCTACAGAGTGTCTCATAACAAAACTATCACTGACATCTGCTTTTTAAAATTATTTTGGCCCCCTTTTTAATAACAAATACTGTAACTATACTCTTGATATTCTTAAATATGTTAAAAACATATTCTTAAGTAGTACTGTACAAAAAAATGAAGTATCTTTCCACTCTATTTTTTAATCCTTTTAGTCTATTTGATCCCTTATAACCCCTTTCCTTTGAGGCCATCTATATCCATTAGCACATCCACAGTAACTTCTCCTGTATTCAGATGTATATTTTTTCCATTCACAATAATATCAGTAAACATACATTTTAAAAAAAAAAAAGGCATCTAACAGTTCCTACCTCAGGCATAACCATGGACTAGACCTGACCTACTGGGTACTGCAATGTTTCCCTGTGGTGGATTGACTTTGCCTGGCTGCCAAGTGCCCACCAAGCTGCTCTATCACTCCCCCTCCTCAACAAGGACAGGGGAGAAAAATATGATGAAAAAACTTGTGGGTCAAGATAAGGATGGAGAGATCACTCATCAATTGCCGTCATGGGAAAAATAGACTCAACTTGGGGAAATTAATTTAATTTATTGCCAATCAAAATCGGAATAGGATGAGAAATAAGAACTAATCTAAAAACTCCTTCCCCCCACTGCTCCCTTCTTCTCAGGCTCAACTTCACTCCTGAATGATCTGCCCCCTCCCCCCTGAGCAGCACAGGTGGATGAGGAATGGAGGTTGCAGTCAGTTCATAACATGTTGTCTCTGCTGCTCCTTCCTCCTCACTCACTCCACCCCTGCTCCAGCATGGGGTCCCACCCACAGGATACAGTCCTTCACAACATTCTCCAACATGGGTCCTTCCCACAGGCTGCAGTTCTTCAAGAACTGCTCCAGCATGGGTCCCCAATAGGGCCACAAGTCCTGCCAGAAAACTTGCTCTGGCGTGAGCTCCTCTCCACGGGATGCAGGTCCTGCCAGGAGCCTGTTCCGGCGTGGGCTCCTCTCCATAGGCTGCAGATTCATTAGGGCATATCCACCTGCTCCAGCATGGGGTCCTCCATGTGCTGCAGGGTGGGTATCTGTTTCACCATTGGCTGCAGGAGGACAACCTGTGTCACCATGGTCTTCTCCACGGGCTGCAGGGAATCTCTGCTCCGGAGCTTGGAGCACCTCCTCCCCCTCCTGCTTCACTGACCTTGGTGTCTGCTGGACTGTTTCACATTTTTCTTACTCCTCTCACAGCTGCTGTGCAGTGTTTTTTACCCTTTCTTCACTATGTTATCACAGAGGCAGCACCAGTGTCACTGATTGGCTGGCCACCTCTGCAGCCCCTCCCACTACCAAAATGCTGTGAGATTTTTGGTTAATGTATTTATAACAAAGTAAACAGTATACTAGTGTTCAATAAATATACCATAAGATTCTTAGAAGTATCTTAAGAATAACCAATATTTAGATTTCTATGGATATTTTTGTTTTTTATTATTTTTTGAAATAGACTACTTTTCCCTGACTTTTCTCCCCTCACAGCTATTCCAAAATCTTCAGTTCGGTGCCTTTACAGATACAACTTTCCACCACTAGCCATTACAATCTTTAACATGGAAAGATAAGGTTGATATCACAGCAATTATATGCAAGTGGATCCCAGAACACTTTGAATTCTGCTTTGAATATCATCTACACTATCTCTGTGTAGCTATTTCACAAAATGCAAAGGTCACACCTGTTTCCAGTCCACCTTTCCTTCATTGTCAGCCTCACCTTTGCTCTGAACAGTAGCTAGTGACTCTCTAGCAAATAGATTTCAGAAAAAAAATCTACATAGCTTTGTAATATTTAAAGTCAATGAGACTCAAATAAGAAAGAAAAGTTATTATGCAAGTGTCCAGCAGAAAAAAGTTCATTATAGGAAACTGTAAGACACATTAATGGTTTAGTAACATTTCACAAATGAGACTGCCTTTACAGAGTGCTATTACCAGTTTGCAAACTTTTAAAGATGCTACTTGCTCCCATCCTGAGGCTTGAGAGGTCACAGAGAAGCAAAGATGCAACAAGCAAGGGAAGGAAAGTACCACCTCCTTTTCAGTACTTTATTAAATCATTTGGAATTAGACACCCCTATATAAAATAGGTTTAAAACAAATAAACAACAGAAAACCCCCATCAAGGTTAACCATCATTCAATTGTCTTAAAATAAGAGGGGAAGCTTCGTGCAAAACTCAAAAAAAAAAAAAATCTATCGTAATGCAAAATTTAAGCCTACTTTGTTTCTGTTCAGGGACTGTGAAGGAGCGGCTTAAGTAATGCTCCCATCTCTACTACCCTGCTTAGTCTCAAATCAACCTGCTGCTTCACTCCCATCCTAATTAATTCTCATTAAATTGTCATAGTTTTGCTAAACGGGATTTTATTTGCCAGTCATTGACAAAAAACTTCTATTATGGAGACACTATTACTAAAGTTTCTTTAGTCTTAAATGTCCATTTCCAGTTCTCCTTATAATTGTGGTCTACTTAGGATTCTTCGTTAGGAGTTTTGTACAGCATTGCTTTTACAGATAAGTAGATACACTTCATCCAGCATTTTAAAAAAATTTTGTATTAAAAAATACAAATAACATAGCAAAAATGAAACAAAAAATGAAAATACTATATTAGACGTAACACTGACATTTTTCACTGAAGAAAAACCTACATAAAAACCTCAATAATGTCACTTGTTATATTTAATTGTCTTTCTGAAATATATTTATGGAATCAATTCAAACTTTAAAAATAGCAAAAACAAATGTTATTTCCTACTTCAGCACTGTATCTAGAAAATGAGACAATAAATACAGTGAGGTTTCAGCACACAGAGTTAAAGATACTCATGACAATTCCTTATGTAGAAATTATAGTTCCTGCACCATCAGGAATCAATGTTACTGGAAACATAGCACAGAAAAAAAAATGGCATTAAAACATTTGGCTACCATGGACTTTTAGCCAAGAAACAAACATTTAACTGTTCCTGCTCTTTTAATTCCTAGTTTTTATCCCCCAGTTCAGAAATATTTCCAGTAATCTTCTAGAAGGATTCAACATTTTTTATTAAAAAGCAGAAACACTAGAAGTAGTTGTTGTGGTTTAACCCCAGCCAGCAACTAAGCCCCACACAGCCGCTCGCTCACTCCCCCACGGTGGGATGGGGTAGAGAATGGGAAGAGTAACAGTGAGAAAACTCATGGTTTGAGATAAAGACAGTTTAATAGGTAAAGCAAAAGCCACGCACACAAGCAAAGCAGAACAAGGAATTCATTCACTGCTTCCCATGGGCAGGCAGGTGTTCAGCCATCTCCAGGGAAGCAGGGCTCCATCATGTGTAATGGTTTCTTGGGAAGACAGACGCCATAACTCCAAATGTCCCTCCACCCCTTCCTTCTTCCCTCTCCCAGCTTTATATACACTGAGCATGATGTCATATGGTATGGAATATCTCTTTGGCCAGCCTGGGTCAGCTGTCCTGGCTGTGTCCCCTCCCAGCTTCCCGTGCACCCCCAGCCTTCTTGCTGGTAGGCCAGCACGAGAAGCTGGACTGTCCTTGACTATTTAGCAACAGCTCAAAACATCAGCACGTTATCAATATTTTCTCATCCCAAATCTAAAACACAGCCTCACACTAGCTTCTGTGAAGAAAATTTACTCTACCCTGTCTGAAACCAGGACAGTAGTATAAATAAAATAGAGTTTTACAGATAGGTTAGAAATTAGTCTCATTACCTAGACACATATGGGTTTAAAAAACAGCAAACCTCCCTGCCCCGCCCCAGTATCACTTGCCAAAGCAATGCATGCTCTAAGGACAGGGAATGATGAAGGGATGTCCCCATGCAAAGCTAAAAAAGCGTTAAGAGCTGGAGAGCAAAACAAAGGCTCTTCTCAAAACACAGCTTATAAAATTAATTTACTTAATTTCAAAACATGACTGTGTGTACTGGGTTTGCGTGGCAAGGTTTTAGTAGTGGG